AGATCCGCCTGCCTCTGCCTCCCGAGTGCTGGGATTAAAGGCGTGCGCCACCACCGCCCGGCAATATAGGCTGTTTTAATTTAGCAGTTTTTTTCTGCAATCCAGTGTCTCTCAGCAGTGTTTGCCCTTCACTCATCAACATTTGAAAAATTCAAAGTCAACAAAACACCATAGAGGATCCAGACTACCTGTATATTTCCCATCCTTACATGGCTTATTCTTTAAAGAATTTATTTGTAAACTATTTTTCTATGACTATCTATACCCATTTTTTTTCTTTCTTCAGCACCTAAGCACATTTTCAGGCATACTGTAACTGTTCAGAGGTTTTCTCAGCCTGGACCTGGCTTTTTTTTGTGTGTGTGTCTGTGTCTGCAGCATTTTTCTGACCGCTTAGCCAAACTTTATATGGTTAGGTGGTGGCTAGGTTACCTGCTGCATGGCTCTGCTTAGCACATGGTGCTGGTTGCTGGCTCTGCCCACTTTAGGTAGATGAGAGTCGAGCCTCATGCCTGTGGGCCCTGGCTTGGAGTCATGTCTATCTGCTCCAGCTCTGGGAAGTTTTTTATTTCATCCTGTGGCAGGCATTTCTATCTAGTCTCCCATTCTATCTAGTAGTGTGCCCTTTAAGTTCTCAGCTGCGTAGCAGGGTCTCTTAAAGGAGCCATACACCACAGGCACTGGGACGGAATGAAAGACTGAAGTTACTAAGGAGTTGTGTCTGGCTCCATGTTCAGAACATTTTTTCAGCTTTCTCAGGCCCTATGTTTTGGGCACCAAATGTATTGAGTCTTTCTTGTCAGACTTTTTTTTTTTTTTTTTTTTTTTTAGAACTGCCTGCTTTCCAATAATGACATGGAGACTTCTTATTAATTATGAAAGCTTGGCCTTTAGTTTAGGCTTGTTCCCAACTAGCTCTTATAACTCAAATTAACCTGTTTCTATTAATCTATGTTCTGCCATATAGCTCTTTATCTCTCCTCCATTTTGTATGTCTGATTTCCTCAGTGTCTCTCTGGTATCTCTTATGCACCTAAATTCTAACCCTGAGTTCCTCTGTCTCCCCAGAAGTCCTGCCCATTCTCTCCTGACCTTTATTAAACCAATCACAGTGACACATTATCCCATAGCAGATAAGAGTTGTGTTGAGGAGCAAGTATTAAAACTCTTGAAATAGTTTAAAATGTGTTTTCATACATAAGTTATCCTTCTGAACCATCACATGGATTTTTATAAATGAAGTTGTGACTCTAGACATTTCATTTTCTAATATTTTCTAAAGTTGTGACTTTGTATGAGATTATTTCTGCCTGTAGACATTGAGAGTATTCATGAGAATAATTATTTGGATTTTAACTTTATTAACAAAGCTTCCCTTCTGCAACTTCTTATAGTTCTGCACACTTACAGTGAAGGTATTTCTAACTGTATGACCTTTCTAGCCTGTTATTTCTCTAAATTACCAAGTAGAGAACAATGCAGCTCAGCAGAGTATTTTATTTTAACTTTAAATAGATTTGAGTGAATGTATTGAAATATAATAACCTCTAAGATTATACTAGTTAATAGCTTGACCATTTAATCACCAGCCCTTTCAACTTTGTTAAACTTTGCTTTATTTATATATTTAAGCAATTCATAATTTCTGGATTGGCCTCTATGAGGACTTAATTGATTTGCTTGAAATATTATACAAATCATACAGATAAATGAAATCAATAAATAAAAGAATCTATTTCTCTTACTTAGCAATTATGGATGAAGCCACTTCAAGTAAACGATTATCAAATATACCAGGACATCATCTACAACCTAAGAAGAAAGGCAGTTCATTTTCCAGATTGTCCGAACCTCTCACATCAAAAAAGCTGAATGTACCTCCCTTTCAATATCACAGTAAATCCTTGGAGAAACATGATGAGCCTGAATTTAAACGATCAAAAACTTCCTTACAGACAAAAAGATTCTCAAGTGGGGTTGACAGTGATCATGTGGGATTTCAGGAACCATACTCAAAGAGTCAAGATTCAAAGTCTAAGCTACCTATCTTGAAGAGTACTTCAAGCCTCGATAAGTTTCCAGATAAAAGTGATACTTCTAAGTTTCCAGATAAAAGCGATACTTCTAAGTTTCTGGATAAAAGCGACACTTCTAAGTTTCCAGATAAAGGCGATACTTCTAAGTTTCTGGATAAAAGCGATACTTCTAACATCCCAAAACTGCTAACTGTGAGAAAGCAGTCCAGCTCCCTAAAACCAGTTTCACCTAAGGAAAAAGCTGTAATTAATACCTTAGGTCAGTCAGTACCATAGACCCGGGTTCTTGAGTGTTTCAGTTTTTGCAGAAATGGGCACGAGTCAATCACTGAATACTTGCACTTTTTTTTTTCTTAATAGTTAACCTTTTAGCTGTCAGCCTATGTAACCACCACTTTTGATATGCAGATCAGTGAATATAATTCTGTGATTTTGGTGACAATTCCTGGGAAAAGGTGGAGACAGGTGGATCTTTGGAGCTTGATGGCTAACTGGCTTAGCCTAAACAAAGATCTTCAAGCCAGTGAAAGACTCTGTCTCAAAAAACATGGCAGATAGCACTTGAGAAACAAGCACCAAGGTTGACCTTTGACCTCCACATTCACATGCACACATGTCCATATCCAATCCCACAACAACGCGCACACACACACACAACGAGAGAGAGAGAGAGAGAGAGAGAGAGAGAGAGAGAGAGAGAGAGAGAGAGAGAGAGAAATTGAGGTGAGAGAAATTGGGGGGGGAGAATAGAAGGTGTATTTTTTTTGGTAATTTATTTGAATATGTAGGAAATCTGTAAAATTTTTGTTAGAGTCCTACAATTCAAATATGTGAAGATATTCCTGGTATGTCAGGTATTATTTCTTATGGATGGAAAATACTAAAAACAGAACAATTAATACTATACTTCCTAGGCATCTAACACTGTACGGCCCTCATCAAAGATAATTAATAATTTCCTTTCTTGTTCTGCTTCCATCACTGAAATACCTTATATGGAACTTAATTGTGTGCTTCTTACAGTCTGCTGAAGTTACTCCATCATGTCTGCTCTCTTTAAAGAAACTTTAAAAATACACTTATTATTTAATGCAGTAGTTAAAGTAAGGGATTACAAAAAAATAAATGATTCATACACTAACATATAGCTCAAATAACTTAGTTGAGGGAAAAATATGGCATTAAGGAAGACTAAGGCATTCATTCTGATTCCTCTACTACTAGGCTGCTATTACTGTGTGTGAGGTAAGAAAGTTCTGGGTTTACAGAACAGCAGAGTAGTAAACATTTAGTCAGTGGGCGGAAGAGGCTTTCCCAAGCCAATGATGTCTACCTACCTGGCATTACTAAATCAAATGATGTCACCTACTAATTCCAGAGCATGTTCTGTATGTAAGGAAGAATGGAATCATTTGTTTGGTAGGAATAACTTCCCTAAAAATAGCAGTAGTAGCAGGGACTCTATTTGATGTGACTGCCTCCATGATTAAATTAAAAAACTAACCCTTTATTTAAAACTGACATTACATTCACAACAGTTGCAAATATAGTGAAAAACATTCCCAAATATTCTTCACCTGGTTTCCCTATGAGTTAATAACATATATCCATGGCCTAAAGATCTAAATCCAGAAGTTAACATTGATATAGCAACACTTACTGACATTTGACCTTATTTAAATATTATCAGTTGTCTCAGGAACGTCCTTTTTCTGATCACAAACTGACCCAGGATTACACAATGCATTTAGTGGCCAAGTGACCCCAGTCTTTCATTCTAGAATGTTTTCTCAGCCTTTCATGATCTTGACACTAGAAGAGTTGTGACTAGTTATTTTGTATAATACTCCTCGTTTTGACTTTTCCTCATATTTCCTTAGAATAAATTCAGGCTATACATTTCTTACTGAATATCTTAGAAGTGATACTGTCCATGTATATATGCCTTTAGGATTTTTATTGAAAGTATGTACACAAAGCATAGTAGGGTCAGTTTATTGGAGGGAAAAGGACTTTTAAAACTGTGCTTGGGGTTCTGGAATTTAAACAAAATACACTGGTGGTTTGATGTCTTGGACTCCTGAACTATATTTTAATCAGAAGCAAGCAGCCTGGTTGCTTTTCTGAATAGGAGTTTGTAGAATTATAACAGTGTTGTGCTTGATATAAAAGCAAAACTGTAAGATAACAGAAAAAGCAATCCATCTGTTAGCGGTATTGAGTAGATGAAACCTGTTCTCTGATTATTCAAGATTTTAGGTACCAGCTGTACATGGTGGTACATACCTGTAACCCCATTACTCAGGAGGTCAAGGTTGGTGTATGAGTTCAAGGCCAGACTGGCTGTGTAGAGGGTGGTAGTTTAGTCTAAGATGCATGGTGAGATTTTGTCTCAAAACATGTTAAAAAAAAAATGATTTTGGTAACCACCATTGTTTTCGATACATATAATCATTTTGCATTCTCTGTATTTAGAAAGTGTCCATGATGTTATCAATAAGCTCCAAGGAGATTACATTTCCCCAGAGGAACTTCTGTCTGTTTTACCCATGGTAGAGATTACTTTATCAGAAAAAGACTTCCAGAAGATTATGCCGGAGACTACTAAAATTGGTGAGAACTTACTAACTCTAAACTAGAGAAAGTGAATACTTTTGTGGAGTTAAAATCTGGGGGGAATTTCTCTTACTGAGGAATGGGCCACAATGGGCCATTCTAAAGCATAAGAAAGAACAGATATGGGGCCTGAGGAGATGGCTCTGTGGATAAAGCTCTTGCTGTTCAACTGTGAGGACCAGAGTTCAGATCCCTCTAGCCACATAAAAGCCGAGCAGGCATGGCAGTGTGTGATCACACACACACACACCATTATATCACCTCCACACCTCACACTTGGAGAAAAGAAAGAAACATAAGAGTGGAAAAAGGTAAACAAAAAACCCTGTGAAGTCTGAGTTCCCGGTTGCTCTGGAAACTAGGCCTTGTTTCGGCAAGGCCCACGTTGCCTTCCTTGCTGTGTCTCCTCAAGTGAGGACAGGTGCTGCGCTAGCTGCAGAGGCCAGGGAGTCAACCAAGGCCTACAAAAACCTCTAAGCAAGTAGCTCAGATTTGAGGAGAAGTAAATGAAGGTTCTATGCATAGGAGGCATTTGGAGCTAGAGCTTAGGGTAGCATTTGGACCCTTAAGTTTTTTTCTTCTTGAGAGGGCTTTCATATTGGAGTTTTTTTCTGTTTTAAAAAATTAAATTGGCTGGGCAGTGGTGGTGCACGCCTTTAATCCCAGCACGCAGGAGGCAGAGCCAGGCGGATCTCTGTGAGTTCGAGGCCAGCCTGGGCTACCAAGTGAGTTCCAGGAAAGGCGCAAAGCTACACAGAGAAACCCTGTCTGGAAAAACAACAACAACAACAAAAAAATTAAATTTATTTATTTTATATCCCAACTGCAGTTTCCCTTCTCTTGTCATCTTCCATTTTCTCCTCCCACCTCCCCTCTGTCCTGCCCTCCCCACAATCCACTCCTCTATTTCTGTTTAGAGAGGGGCATGCTTCCCATGGATATCAACAAAGCATGCCATATCAAGTTGCAGCAAGACTAAGCACTCCCCTTGTATTAAGGCTGAGCAAGGCAATCCTGTATGAGGAATAGGTTCCCAAAAGCCAGCCAAAGTGTTAGGGACAGCCCCTGCTCCCATTGTTAGGAGTCCCACAAGTAGACCAAGCTACATAACTGTCCCATGTATGTCCCATGGGCCTACGTTGGTTCCATGCAGGCTCCCTGGTTGTCAGTTCAGACTCTGTGAGCGCCTAGGAACCTAGGTTAGTTGTTTCTGTGGGTTTTCCTGCGGTGACCCCTCTGGCTCCTACAATCCTTCCTTAATTTCTTCAGCAGGATTCCTCAAGCTCAGCCTAATGCTTGGCTATGGGTCTCTGTATCTGTTTCCACCAGTTACTGGATAAAGGCTCTTTAATGACAATTGGGATGGTCACTAATCCCAGCACATCCCATAGGCAGGACAGACTGTAGGTCAAAGATTGTATGGCTGGTTGGTGTTTCAATCCCTCCATTGGAAGTCTTGCCTGATCACAGGAGATGGCCAGTTCAGGCTACATAGCTACTGTTACTAAGAGTTTTAGCTGAGGTTAGAGAGTTACTTTTATCAGTAACTAAGACTTACCCACTCTAGAAGCTCATCTGGGGAGAAAAGAAGGAACTTTTTTTTTTTTTGCAAAGAATGACTTGGGAATAACTTAACATTAAAAGTGAATTTTCAGAGTCTGGGTATAATTTCTTAGCTAATGCAAGTAGGAAGAAAATTTGATTTCAAAATGTATAAGAGTGGGTGCTAGAGAAGTTATTGAACCCTTTGCAGGGTTGAATGATTGCTATTGGAAGGATTATATTTAAAAATTGGTAGTGAATCAGACCTCTGAATCCCAGGGGTCAGAGTGTGACACTTGGTCAGTGCTGGTTAATACTGTCAAGATATCTTAATGGATACCATGTTGACTGGCTTTTCACCTTGGTTTGAAATTGACTCCTCAACTTTCTTATAGTCCAGCTATGTGGACTTTGGTTTTTCTCATATTTATCAAATCTTAGTATCCAATCCAATCTTTTGCATGTAATAACTATTAAAAAACCAGGGACTGTCTTACTTATTTTTGTGTCCTTGGTGATTAGTTAGTTTATGGCTCTAAGATGCCTCCAGTGGTTACTAAAATAATAGGTGTGTGTGTATGCATGCATGCAATAATAATTAATAAACGAAATTATTGGTTGTTTTTACTCTTAACTCTTTTGGGGGACTGCCACCCAGCTCTCAAATAAATGCACGTAGACTTAATATTACTTATAAATGCCTAGCCTTAGCTTGCTTATTTCTAGCCAGCTTTTCTTAAGTTCTCCCATCTACCTTTTGCTTCTGGGCTTTAATCATTCACTATTCTATAAACTTTTCTTTATTTCTTACTCCATGGCTGCTGTGTGGCTTGGTGGTTGGCCCCTCGTGTCCTTCTCTCCTTCTCCTTCTTTTGCTCTCCTCGATCTTCTCTTCCCAGATTTCTCCTCCTATTTATTCTCTCTGCCTGCTAGCCCCACCTATCCTTTCTGCTGCCTAGCTATTGGCCATTCAGCTCCTTATTAGACCAATCATGTGTTTTAGACAGGCAAAGTAACACAGCTTCACAAAGTTAAACAAATGCAACACACCTTTGCATCATTAAACAAATGTTCCACCGCATAAACAAATGTAACACATCTTAAAGTATTCCACAACACAAAAGAGGCCATGAATTTGAAGGAGAGCAGGAATGGGAAGGTTTAGAGGGAGGAAAGAGAAGGCAAAATAGGATGGTGAAATTAAGGATCAAGCAAGTTTTTACTCTTAATTTAATAAAAATGAAAACATACTTCTAATGTAAAATATGTCAGAATGTGTAATTTAAATTCTTTATTTTACAGAAAGTGGAATGGTGAATTTAGATGACTTTATTATGGCAGTTTCCAAGGAGCACAATATACCCGAATATGATGGTAGGTAGAAAATTTGATTTAAAATGACTTGGAGGAAAAGCAATTAGGTTGAAAAGAAGATTGAATAGATCACCTTGAACTTGCTTCTGTGTGGCATGGCGGAGCATACCTCTCCAATTCCCACACTTTGAAGGTTGAAGTGAGAGAATGGAAAATTCAAGGCAGAGCTACATAGCTTGTCTCCAAAACAAACGAAACAGATGGAGCACAAAATGAAACAAAACTAAGGCAAAACTAGAAGAACTGAACATATCTTTGAGATGGACACTCACAGCCCCTGGGGTAGACATTTACTGCTTCTGTGACTCTTAGAGTCAACAGTCAGCATGTAAGAACTTCCTGTTTCAGGAAGTAACTGTAGAGACCCACAGAGGTTTCCTAGTGAGAACTTACTCAGTATCTGAGAATCTGAGCTTGCTTTACCCAGCGGGCTGCATAAAGGGATGATTGGACCATGGGTGTGGTTACCAGGTGTTTAGAAGAGTCTGCACTTGCCTGTGCAGTATGCTTTGATCTAGCAAGGCGGAGGTCTTTTGCCCCACCCCTTGGCATTGTTATAAAAAGCCCTTTGAAGAGACAGAAGGGGCCAGTAGATTTTGATCCAGGTCCTCCTGAAGCTATTCTGTGTTTCTGTTTGTCTCCTCTCTGCTATCTTTCAATCTAGAAGTTTCTTATTCCTCTCTCTTCTTCATAGGACCCCTTTAAAAGGTGGGAGCTGGCCTCCCATAGGTAACAATAACTAGCTTGCTCATCTCATAGAATTGTCATCTGAATTTTATAAACTCAGAGTGCTACACAAAGGCCTAGTAATACAATGATAGCAAGGAGAGCAAATGGGTAATTAGCCCCATTGGTTAGGAATTGATTTTTCAACTATTCATGAAGAATGTGTTTGAATGAAATATTGATATAATTTAGTTTTAGAACATTTTATGAAGCACTTATTAGGCTATAATTTACATACATAATATTGATCCACTCACCGATTTTCAAGTAAATTTATAGAGTTGTGCAATGGTCACCACTACCCAGTATTGTTTTCATTTTGTTATTGTTTTTTGCTTGTAATTATTTTGTTTATACAAATAGTTTTTTAAACAAGATTAAAATATGAAATAAAATACTTTATTTGAATCTTACATTCGAGAAAACCTATTTAATTTGTGTACATGTGTGTTTTTTTTCAGATCTCACTTTTTCTTCAGATGATTTATAACACCTCTCCTACTTAAAAATTTAAACTTTTGTTAGCTCTTTGAAAGTTTCATACAACACCTCTCCTACTTAAAAATTTAAACTTTTAGCCGGGCGGTGGTGGCGCACGCCTTTAATCCCAGCACTCGGGAGGCAGAGGCAGGCGGATCTCTGTGAGTTCGAGGCCAGCCTGGGCTACCAAGTGAGTCCCAGGAAAGGCGCAAAGCTACACAGAGAAACCCTGTCTCGAAAAACCAAAAAAAAAAAAAAAAAAAAAAAATTTAAACTTTTGTTAGCTCTTTGAAAGTTTCATACAATGTGTTTTGATTATATTCATTCCCCCACCAACTCTTCCAGATCTACTCTGCTTCACACCTATGACTTTGTGTCCTTTTTTTTCCTTAAAGAAAAAAAAAAAACTTTTAAGACCAATTTGTGTTGGGCAAGTATTTTGAGATGTGTGGTATTCCATGGTCATCTCACTAGGAACTACACTCTTAGAGAAAACTGTGCCTCCTTCCCCTAGCAGCTACCATTTTGTCAATAGCTCCATGGCTAAGGGTGGGATTGTGTGCCTAGCTTCTGTCTCCATGGGATTTGGTCTGATAGGTTTTATACATACTGCTGCAACTGCCACGAGTTCATAGGTGCAGCTGCTCAGTTGTGTCCAGAACACTGTTTCTTGTTGTCACCTATTGCCTCTGGCTCTTGCACTCTTTCCCTTTCTTCTTCCACAATGATCCCTGAGTCTTGGGAAGTGGACATGTGGTGTACATGTTCCATTTAGGGCTGAGCATTTTGAAATCTTTTACTCTCTGCATCTTGGCCAGTTGTTCTCTGTGTTGATTGCCACTGGCCTAGCAACCTCTTTAAAAAACTGTGCATATATTTCTATATACACACAATAATGTTTTTTTTATAAATTTCTTTTTTCTCACTTTTATTAGTTCTTTGAGAATTTCATACAATGTATTTGGATCATATTTGCCTCTCCTACCATTCCTCCTAGATTCCTCCCACCTCTCTACTCACCTAACTTTGTGTCCACTTTTAAAAAATACTCACCAAATATAGTTGACACTGCCATATACTCTCGGGTGTGTAGCCTTCTACTGGAGGGTGCTCAACCAACTCTTAAAGAAAATTGACTCTCCCTTTCCCAGCTTCTATCAATTGCTAATAGAAGCTTAGCTAGGAGAAGTACAGAGAGTAAGAGACCATGAAATGATCAGCCCTAAATAGAGACAGCACACACAGGACCTGCTGCAATCTCAAGCTAGACAAAATCCCAGGATAAAGAGATGGGGGTAGGCAAACCTGGATATTTTGGAAGAATTTCTTTTAAGAATAGCTGGACATAATGGCACATGCCTTTAATCCCAGCACTTAGGAGACAGAGACAAGCAGATCTCTCAGTTTAAGGCCAGCCTAGTCTACATAGTGAGTTTCAGGAAAGCCAGAGCTATATAGTGAGACTCTGTCTCAAAAAAAAAAAAAAAAAAAAAAAAAAAAAAAAGAAAGAAAGAAAGAAAAAAGAAAAGGAAAAAAGGAATGCTTTCACTGTAGCACAAATTTAGCAATTTAAATTTAATGAAGGAAACATTTTCCATATTAATAAAGTATAGATTTTAAGGTATTATAAAAGATACATGGGATAATTATTTTTAAGTAATCATATTTATATTTAAAGAAGATTAAACTAAATGAATTTACCATGGACCAAACTACACATTCCCACAAAGCACTATCTCATGAAGGATGGAAAGATTTCTGCTTAATTTTTTGCTAATATGAAATAAACCACCAAGGAATTTTAACTTGTTGAATTAAGTAGGGCATTCTCATAGGATTTTTGTTTCTATGTAATTTCAGTGGTGATATTGTCAATGTGACTAAGTTGGCATTTCTTAGGTATAGGAATCACATAGCAAAGTAGAATATTTTTGACTGATTCTGAGACTTACTGATTTTTAGCATGGAAAAATTTGTGTCTGGAGGTACAGCTCAGTTGGTAGAGTGTTTACCTAGAAAGCACATGGCTCTGGGTTTGATTCCCAGCATTGCAGAAACCATGTATGGTGACTGAATATGAGTTCAGGGTTGTCCTTAACTACAGAAGGAGTTTGATGTCAGCCTGGGCTACATGAGACCGCCTCCTCAAACAACAACAGAACCCAAACAAACCAACAAAAGTCTCTTAAAGCATTCTTATTATGCCGTTAGTATGCAACACGTCTAACAGGATTTATATTTTTGCTTAATGTTGGACCTAGCGTTCATCTTAATACTTGTATTTTTTTGGTTTAAAGTTTACTTAATTCTAATATGAACAAATTTATTTCCAGCATTGAATGATGCCATTGAAGGCGCTAATAAAATTCAGAATGAAAATGTTGCTGATGAGGATCTAGACAGTTGTCTTCAAAATTTTGGAGTTTACCTTCCTAAGCCAGAACTAGAGAAGATCAAAGAATTAACAGGAGTTGATGGTAAATGATAAAATTTCAAGGAAATATTCTTCTCAGAATAATGAATTTATTGTTTTTTATTATAACAATAATGATTTTATTGTTAGAAAAAGTATTAAGTCAATAAAGGAAAGTTCAAAAGTACAATTAAATGCTTGAAAATTGTCATCTAGACATTGCCTGGGTTAATAGTCTTTTCAGATACTTTTCCCTAGGAAAAGCTGCAAAGACAAAGCAAGCAGCTGGAAGTCAGGACACAAGGCACTGAAAGGACAAAGGTGGCTTCCTCCTGTCAAAGCCTTCCACTCGCAGTAAAGGTTTACCAATGAGGGTTTCAGTACCCATGTAACTGAGCAAGAACTTTCCTTAAGGGAGAGAGAGTGGTGGGCTATAGTGGGGTCCACATGGATGAAGAGCTGAGTTAATAATGACTGATTTAAGGATACTGTATGAGAATTCATTACAACATCTTTAGTTGTATTTTTTAAAACCTTCATAATAAAGGAGTAGAAACATATAATCTGTGTAAAACTTGTATAGAGAAAATACGACTTGGTTCAGAGGATAATTTGAATGGGAACATGTCCTGTGCCTATAGGTTGGTTTGGATATAGAGGATGATTTGATGAGAACCTGTCCTATGCTGATAGGTTGGTTCAGATGTAAAGGAAGATTTGAATGGGACCATATCCTGTGCAATAGGTTCATAGACTGAAACCTGTCAGTTCTTCCATTCAGTGCTATTTAGCTTTTGGGATGAGCTGCGATCTGGGAATGCTGAGGGTTCTATGACCATAGACGAAGACTGTCGTTTCCCTAATGTGTTTGTCTAAAGAAATTCCAACAAAATTCAGGCTTTTATGAGCCAATTCTAATGTTTGTGTGAATGAACAATGTCCAAGAATAGTTAAAACACCCCTGGACCAGGTGTGCAGAGGTAGACTTGCTTTTCTTGAAAAGTTATTGCAATTATACTAGTGTCTGTGAGTAGTACGGGCAAAGAGAAACAGATGGAAGATATTCAGACATTAACGAGCACACGTGGACAAAAATGAGATGTCAGGTAACAGATACTAAAAGTTACAATGCTGTGCACTATTTTGAACAACTTTCTATTAAGTGTTTGATTTTTGCTTCTAGATGAATTGCCTTTCCCCCCAAAACATACATTTTAGTGATTATTATTATATGATGGATATAATTATATCTTCACATAATTCAATATTTGTCATAATAATTTAATACTTGAAGATATTAAAGAAAATGTTTCTCTTCTCTTTAGAAACAAAACAAGTGAATTTAAAAGAATTTATTGGTAACATGATGAGCAACACGGAAGGCTTCTCTCAAAATTTATGTACGTATGAAAGTTACTGACACTTTCATGGACCAGGTGGTCTGAAAGATTTTAGAAGATAACAGGCTTTTATAAGATACTGAAAGAATTAGTCATCTGCCAGCTCATCAGGCAATGACTGCCTGACTTTGTGCTGCAAAATGTGGCTGTAATCTTTTCTTTACTGTGTGCAGAATAACTATTATAGAGCTATTATAGTCTTTGACCTCCATACTTACTGTGGGCAGAACCATGTGTATCACATCTATTTGGGGGAGGGGGATTGGAATGTCTTCTCACTCTGAGAAAGTGATGCTACTTAGAATCTGAAAACTAATATGAAGAGTTTCTGGTTTCAGCTGTTTTCTCAGCATGTCTTTCAATATTCTAACCTATTTAATAACATTCAAGAACCGGGCTTTATGTTAAGCTGTCAGTAAACTATTATGAGCTAGTATTTGGTACTGTGAAACTCAGCATAGAGAAAAGTAAGGCTATAACCTCTATTTAACAATATTTAATTATATGTGTATGTTGGTGTCGAGGGTGAGGGTTGGGTATGTGCACATGAGCATGGTTCCCTTTGGAGGCCAGAAGCATATGTTGGATCCCCTGAAGCTGTACTCTCAAGTAGTTGTGAGTTGGTGACCTGGGTGTTGGGAACGGAACTCAGGTCCTCTGAAAGAGCATGCTATGCTCTTAACTGATGAGCCATCTCTCCAGTCCATAACTTGTAGCATGAATCTTAAAGAGTCTTTATTAATAAAAACAAACCTGGAGCCAGTTATTGGGGTGAATGCTGGTAGATCAGATGCAGAACAAGCCACAGCTACCTCACCTTGCCAATTCCTCAGCTGGTCCTGTTTCCTCAGACTGGAAGCCTCTCAGTCCTCATCCAGAATGAATCTCAGCTGAAATGTGCTGCTCCAAAGCCTGAAAGCTTAACCAGCCAAATGCTTCTAGTTTCTGGTCCTCACGCCTTATATACCTTTCTGCTTTCTACTACCACTTCCTGGGATTAAAGGCTTGCTTTCTGGGATTAAAGGCGTGTGTCTCCATGCCTGGCCATTTCCAATGTGGCCTTGAACTCACAGAGATCCAGAGGGATTTCTACCTCTGGAATGCTAGGATTAAAGGTGTGAGTGCCACCATTTTCTAGCCTTTGTATCTAGTGGCTGTTCTGTCTCTGACCCCAGATAAGTTTATTAGGGTGCACAATATTTTGGGGAACACAATACCACCACATTAACTATCTATTTTTAATGGACTGACATTAGTACTTTAAACATTTTGGCTAGAGTTACGTTATTTGGTGCTTATATATTGAATGGTACTGGATTTTAATTAAGAGTTATTTTTAGTTTATAGTTTTTTTCTATATTAGGTTGCACCATGGATAAAGATGAAGAGGTTATTTGTGTTATCAGCCATTTCAATTTTTCCTTAGGATTTTCTGTCATGGAAGTTAAATTTTTTCATAGGACAATTGCATAGTATATTTTCATTCATATATTTAGTTTTATTTTCTTTGTAAGTCTTAATATTATATATATATGCTCACTTTTCCATTTTCAGCAGATTGCTCAGGTCCTATCTTCTTCCTTTTCCCCCCTTGATTCTTTGTGGGTTTCATATTATGCTTTCCAAGTCTACTTTTCTCCCTCTGCCCTTGCAACCTCCTTCCCAGAACAAAACAAGATTTAAAAGAAAACTAAAAAACTTAAAAAAAAAAAAAAAAGGAAAAGAATCTTGTCTTGAAGCTGTAGTGTAGCCTGTTGAGTCACAGTTTACCTGGTAGTCCATTCATCTTTACTTGCAAGGGTTCATTGCCATGAGCCATTTGTCTGGCTTCAGACCCCTGGCTTCTGCCACACCACTGATAATGGGCTCTCACTGGGGTTTTTCTTGGCTGTCCCATTGTTGTCCTGTGTCATGGAGATCCTGCTGTTTTGGATCCATAGGTTCATCTCCTTCACATGCCCCAACAATTTCATAGATGAGGTGGATGTTGGGGTGGGCCAACTCATAACTCTGGTTTTGGGCCTGGGTGGTAGCTGGCTTGGTCAGCCTGCCACTTTTCCCTCACAGTCACTACCCGGACGAGCTCTTCAGCACTGCCTCAGCTGGCTCACCCAGTGCAGAGGCCTATCTTCTTATTGGTTCTGTATTCCTTATATTGTGGACTTCAGTCGGTTTCCCCATGTACTTTAGGTCAGTCTCTGCTCATTTTTGCTTTTCTTATTTGATTTAAATTGTCTGATACATATTTACACAATACCCTGAAATCTCTAGCCTTTCTGTACTTCATTGGAACCCATGCAGTGAAACTCCCTGCTCTGCATGAGTCTGACTACCATTAATTTCCCACTCTCTGAAACAACTGTTTACAATCCCTGTTCTCTCCAACTTCTGGTCCTATCCTGGCTCTACCCTTCTCAGGCTTAGCTTCTGGCTTTGCCTTCACATGGAAAACAGAAGATGATCTCAAGTTTGATCCTATTAAAGTATTTCCCAGTGTCTTCTAAAAGTTTCAAGTTTTTCTTTTCATTTATAAAATTTCAATTTCCTGGAAATGACTTTTTTGTAATAAGTGAGGTTAGGGTCTGACAAAACAATTTTCTCATAAGGATAATGAACCATGCCTCTCTAATGCTGCATCTTGGTTTAGTGCTATGCGGATATCTGACAGTCACAGATGCTAATCTGGGGCTCTAAATGATCAGAAAAATTTTCCCTAGTCTAGTTCTTAGGCAGAATTCAAGCTCTGTACATAAACTCCTGAAAAAAAGCAGCAAAGGGCAGGCCATTGTGGCATACATCTTTAGTCCCAGCATTTGGAGAGTAGAGACAAGTAGATCTGTGTAAGTCCAAGGCCAGCCTGCTGTATGTAGTGAGTATCAGGATAACCAGGGCTACATAAGGAGACCCTATCTATCTCAAACAAACAAACAAACAAACAAACCAAAGTAGTGAAGGTCCATTAGTCCTAATTTTCAGATAGAAAGACTTTGTAAACATTTCAGTTATAATAGACTTATATGTACTACATAATAGTAATTACAATGATTGTGTTATTGTCACTCATACATAGTGTTTATCATACACTACTATTAATTTTTCCATTACCCTATGGATTCCCATATTAATGCTATACTGTTTTTTAGAAGAGAAAACCAAGGTACAGAGTTCTCCTTATCTTAGGCCTGCTTAATGCCATGTGTCTGGTACACACTAGCTCAGACAGAGCTCAGAAAAAGCTGTGTTTCCTAAGCTCCACATTACACCACCCCACGAGCACACACAGTTAACATTTCTTACTTGTTTTTGTCGTTTGGTGCTCTCCCCTCGAGCTTTGTATCACTTGCAGACCCACGGGGAAGAGTCATCCCTACTCAGCTTTCCCACTTTGGCCCCAATGCCACACTCCCAGCTTCATCTCATCCATCATACTGTTTTGTTTGTTTGAAATGAAGCCTATGTTTTCCAGGCTGGTCTTAAACTCCCCAACTTAGGTTCTGGTGATTTCCCTGCCATGGCTCCCTGGGTGCTAGAGGTACACAGACAGGTGCCAAGATGCTTAGCCATTCCCAGATACTTTTATTGGTGTCTTAAAATTTGGTATAAAAACATGTTTCATGGCTGCAGTGAAGGAAAATCTTGGTGTTCTTAGTCTACAGTTTTTCTGTTTGTTGAACTATTTATTTATTTATTTGGTGGTAGGATTGGGTCCAAGTCTTGACATGCTAAACTACATCCCCAGCCTCAGTCCTTCCTATAAAATGATGCATTATTCCACACTAACTTTCTATAACACTTAAAGTGCATTTTGCTAAGTCAAATTTTCATCTTCATCTTTTGACCTTTTAATCCCTGTTACTTCTTGGAAAGTTTTCCTTCTGGTACCTGTGGGGCGTTTACCCACCCACCCCACAGCTCTCCAGAGTTTTCTTGAGTGTGAGCAGCAGGAAATATTAGATAGAAGGATTTATTGTGGAGAATCTTGCAGAGATAAACAGATAGAAAATAAAGGATAGCCTCGAGAGGGCCTGGAACCTTTTCCAACTGCCCCTGATTGTCTCTGCCTCAGGGTATTTATAGAGACGCCAAGGGGTGGAGCAAAAGACCCCCCCCCCCAGCACAGCCAAGTGCAGACCATCTCAGACACCTGCACTCAGGCCTGTGGTCCTGATCATCCTTTATTCAGACCTGCTGGGTAAAGCCATGAGGAACCTGAAAACAGACTCCCACAGGTCCCCCCTTAATATATAAAAAATAACTCATTATTAGTGGCTTACAGCAATCTCCACAGCTGTTACACCTCCCAGTATGGGAGTAGAGGATGATATAGATGGCATTTCTCTTTTGAATTAGGTCCAAGGTGACTACAGCAGTCTTTAGCTGCATCAAGCCCTTTCTAAACCAAAAACTTAATGCAATTGCAAACTTAATCCCTTAGCTTCATCATTACCATTAACAGGTTAACATAAATATTGCTATACATAGTCACAATTCTCTCAATCTTACAACTCAAAGCAAACTCTTAATAGAACCATTTGAATTAGTATATATGGTGCTATATATAGTCAACAATTTTCTCAGTCCTATAACTTTAACTCTTAATCATTTGAATTTTCTTGCTAACAGAACATAGGAAAAACTTCAATGTATTCACAAATTTAAATATTTCCTTAACTCCACAAAACCAGGGTGCGTTAATACCAATAGGTTAAACATAATTTCTGCAAACATAATTCAACCTTAATTCACTCATAACTCCTCCTTTTCTTTATAATTTTTTAAACAAAATCTCAAACCTAGTTAGAAAAAACCCAAACTTATACAATTCCTACAAACCCATATTGAAAAGCAATATTCTCAATCTAACCATTAATACTTTGAAAACTTTTAGCAAAACATCCAAAAGCAGTTTCTTAATAAAACTCTTTACACTTTAAAAGTAGTCTCTTAGTATACCCCATTTGCATTTATTACTAACAAAAACATGACATTAATCCACTCAA